CCCCCCCCCCCCGCAAGCCCCTCTGGATGGTTGCAAAGGGATCGGAATCGACCAGACCTCTCATCCCCAAAAGCAGCCGCTGGGCGAGGGGCGCGCTGGTTTCGCCATTGCTAGCGCAAAGAGGGATTGGGACACCACCCCCTGCCTCACCTCTGGGGCTAGTCGGCCTGCAGGAACCACTCACTCGTCCTCCTGCACCTCTCTATCCCCTCGCGCCCGCCCCTGCCCCTCTTTCCGCCCACGGAGCTACACCGGATGGGCCGCAGGTGACCGGGGCGGGGCGGGGCTCTTTACACTTTTGTAGGGGCTGTCATTCTACTCTGGGGTCTGTCATCCCCATCCCAGAACACTCCTGCTACACCCAGGGGCTGTCATTCCACTCCGTGGTCTCTCATTCCAGTCCCTGAACACTTCTGTTACTCCTAGGGGCTATCATTCCACTCCCTGCTCTTTCATTCCAGTCCCAGAGTAGTCTGTTTAGGCCCAGAAACCCTAATGGAAAATCCATTGTGCATTTTTATTCCCAAGTGAGTCATCACCTGTGATTGGGTCAATTGGCTCTTTTCAATGTTGATGAGGAAACCATGTGACAACAAAAGCTGGATAGTGGACTCACATCCTGGGAAGCCTTCTCTGCTGAGGGAGACCTGATAAGAAGGTCATTCAAGTAGGAATGCACATGGGTACCTTGGAATCTGAGGCTTGCTACAAAGAAAGCCTTCATCTTTGTGGAGGTACATCTCCACAACTGACATAAGCATCTGTTTTGATTTTTTGTATACAACAAATTGGTTGGAACAAGGAGACTGTAAGAAGCACATGTGTGTGTGTGGGGGACAAATTCAATGGCTTAAGCTTGCCTGATGGCGTGTTGTATCAAAGCACTGGACATTGATGTGGCCTATTTCTGCCAGAAAAGTTGAAGTCCCCCACTGATGGAGTCCTTACATCAGGAGTGCTGCAGGCAGGCTTTGTTGCCTGTTGCCCAGGTTTGGCCCTGGAGGAAGACTTTTGTCTTGGACCAGGCTGGTCTTTTATAGTCTGTACAGAATCTGGGAAGGTACTTAGACTGAAACCCCTTCTGTTGCCTATCCTCTTTCTTGGAGGAAAAAGGGCCTAGCCTTCTTATTATCCTTGGTCTCTAATAGGGTATCATCCAGAGTATTGCCAAATAATTTACTCCCAAGGAAAGTCCAATTCTTCAGCCATAAATTCCCCCTTGCCACCACAGTGGAGGATATAGCCTTCAAGGGAAATTTCATAGAATCAAAAACTGGCATCAGCAATGAAGAGTGCAGCTCTATCTAGTCTAGAGAGGTAGTGAGTAAGCTTCCTTAATAAATGAAGAGTTTCCCTCAGGAGTTTGCAAAGCCACATGATAGAGGCTCTAGCCATGAGGGAGGTGGCAGCTGAAGCTCTAATGGCATAGGCCATCGCTTCACGAGCTCTGTGTAAAGCTGCCTCACTTTTTTATCTGTGGAAACTTAAGGAGCTTTCCCTTTCTTTAGGTAAGGCTATGCCTGAGGTCAGGCTGGCCACTGCAGTGCCTACCACATTTGGTGGAAAGGAGGATAACTTTTTGGCATACCCAGTGTGGAAGCACTGACCTGAAAGTTCAGTTCATTTCTCCTTGACCCCTTTAGTGAGACTGAGGAGCCTGCTGAGGAGGGTCTTCATCTGATAGTTCCCCTTCCTCTCTGAGTCATACTCCGAGTTCTCAGAATAGTTATAAATCTCATCCAGAAGGGAAGACTTTGGCTACCTGAGTCTGGCCTGTATGACAGTCCTGAAAAATACTTTGTCCTCCCTTCCCCATCCCTCTTTTGTAAACAAACCCTTCTCTTGAGACACACACCCCAGTGATGGCGAAGTGGAGAATATATATATATATTTAAATGTTACTACAATGCTGTCTGAAAGGATGTTTCCTTTTTATATGTCTATACAAATGCTAATGTAGAACAAAAGCAAAGCACTAATCCAGTAAAGAAATTTAAAAAATACATTACAAGTTTAAATAAAACTTCAGCATAGGTTTGTAACCTACGACAGGCAGCTCTGACGTATTTATTATTTGTATATTATACACTGGCACAAATTTGATGCAGCCTTTAGAGACCACTTAAGTGTTAAAAAAAAAATCAACACAGTGCCTCAGTGCAAGCAATTTTTTATTGCAACTCTACTTGTACTGTAATGTATTTCAATGGAACTCAATTGACATTCCTGGCTCCCATTATTTCCAATGGGCCTTCAAGTGTTCCCCATTGTTTCCAGTGGGCAATCCTGTCCTTCCTTTTAGTACATCCAATTTCATACTTATGTTTTCATAATAAAGCAGCATCGTTCAGGTGGAACAAAAATTATATTTTCCTGCCCTACTTCATGATAATCTTCCTCACACACGACTCTATCATCAGTTTCTGATCTGACATTTCCAAGTATCTGTCAGAATCAATGTTCCTCAAAGCTTTCAATCCCATGTTCATTTCTTAGGGAACAAATCTCATGGGATTTACTTCTAAATAAATACTGTATAAGGTTGGATTTAAAGATTAACTCCGACCAGTTATAGAATTAGGATAAACAGTTTTCAAATCAGAGCATAATTTCTAAACTAGAAATCTCAGTTCAGATGAACCGACTACCAGCCAGAGCATCTGCAATTAAACCTATCAACTTTAATCAGCATTCGCTACAAATCATGCCTCCACCGCACCTTGTATGCACGCACCCCCACCCGTGTACTTTCTCACTCTCCCGCCCTTTTCTGGATGTCTCTCCCGCTCCCCTTCTTTTCACCAAAGCCTGCCATTTCTTTCGTTATCCTAAACCACTACGGGAGATGTGCGCTTGCGCGACAGTCGTGACCCTCTCCTCAAGTCTCACTGCGCCTGCGCGGTTGTTTTCTCGCACATGCTGTTAAGTGTTGCTGGAGTCACAGAGTAGACTGAGGGTCATTTGTGCCTCTGCTGTTTGCTATTAAAAGGTAAGTTCTGGATCGTGCTGCGTGATTCGGTTTGGTGCGGCTGGTCGGTTTTCCTTCCTCGGGCCTTGCTCTTTTCTGTTTCACGGTTTGGCCTGTTTCGTTTGTGTCTCAGCGAGGGGCCGGAGGGGTTGGCTGGGAGTCGTCCTCGGTGAGGACCGAGGAGAGACGCCTCGTCCCCACGGCGGGCTTTAGGGCGTTAAGCTGTTCTTTCCCCTCTTCTCCCACAGCGTCCCCAGAGGGGAAACTACTGGGGAGGGGAGATCTCGGCCTTGCCTTCTTGCAGTTGTTGTTGTTGACGCGCCCTGTGTGTACCAAGCCTGGCTTGTTGTGGGTAATTGGGGATACTGCGTCTCTGCTTCCTGCTGTGGTGCTGGTCTGGCTGGGTAGGGCGCTTCTGGCCATAACTGGCCGCCCGGGGCCAGAGAAATAACTCAGGGCGGGGAAAAGGAGAAAGGACACCTGGCGGATTAGTGGTATGTGGACCCATAAAGATTAAGCAGCATCGCAGAGTTCTTTTCCTGGCTTTATAAGCAATGTCGGGGCTCAGTGATGCTTTTGAGGCTGCGGGTTTAAGCCTATTTCGTTAGAATGAAGTCCCGTTGAACTCAAGTGAGCCTTACTTCCGTGTACACATTTGCTTAGATGCGGTCGAAGTATGGATTTCCCAGGCATGGATAGTTCTCGCAAAGCGTTGCGTTCGAGCTGGTGATTTGCTTCCATTTCTTCTAGCGTGTCTGTGCGTCCTTGAGGAAATACAAGAAACGTAGAAAGAACTTGTTAGTTAAAAGGATAAGTCATTGTCCGATTTGCAGGCACTTCTGTGGAAGCCAGTGAACAGCTGCAGCATGATTACTTTTGGGGAATCAATAATTTGCAGGGATTTTCTATTTTGATAGAATTTCACCTTCTGTTACCATTCTGATTTGAACTATCCTGGCTTGGCTTTGCTGAGCTTTCAGAGGATTGGGCCCTTCTTCTCCATTGTTGCCTTGTTTAGCAGATTAAAAATGCACATTGCCTTAATAGTGAAAATATTTTTGAGCTTGATTAATGTCAATGAAGATTTTCTTAGAATAGAAGAAATCAGCTCCACATATCTTGCTGGACTGAAATGATGCATGCTCACAGTGGTGCTGTCAATGCTCCTTTTGGGGAATAGCTTTGGTTTAAAGCTGCATTTGCAGGTATATGTGAGTGAATATAGTGAGGCAGTAACTGCTATTGCAAGTTTGTCCGACTAATGTCTAAAGTGCTGTTTGCATAATGTGTATTGCAAGTAACTAGTCATCACAAACACCCAATTGCCTTTCTGCTATTTCTAGACTGTAATACTATGCTTAAATCTGATTAAAATAATCTGGATCTCTAGAAGCAATATTTAGGATCATGTTATATATGTTAGTCTTGTTCAGATTAATTATTTGATATTTGCAAAAGTGGTTCTGATGTTTGAGGCAGCTGTGTTGTTGCATAGGTTATACCTAATTGTCTTCAAAGATGGTTGTATATTTGGATGGAAAATGTTTATAGGAGTCTAATGGGCTACTAACACTTTAAAATGTGCCATTCAAAATTTTGAATAATACCCAGGTAAAGGTAAAGGTTCCCTTGCTCGAAAGCCAGTCAAATCCGACTCTAGGGTTGCGGTGCTCATCTCCGTTTCAAAGCCGAAGAGCCAGCGCTGTCCGAAGACGTTTCCGTGGTCATGTGGCCAGCATGACTAAACACCAAGGCACACGGAACGCTGTTACCTTCCCACCGAAGTGGTACCTATTTATCTACTTTCAATTTCTTGCTTTCGAACTGCTAGGTTGGCAGGAAATACCCAAGTACAGGATTAGAAATAGCAGTTAGAGGTCCTGGATAAAGAAAGCTTCATCTTCCCTCATATGAAATGCCACCCATATGTTTGGCATAACATAAAGAAGATTTCTGCTCTCAGTATTTGAGAAAAAATTAAACCTAAATTAAGGATATATGGATTTTATGAACTTGTAAGGGGAAAGAAACAGCATGTCGAGTAATGTTGATGATGGAGTAAGCATGAGAAGTTCTGCTAGCAGTAACTTTCTAAGGTTCTGCTTCTTGCTGATACTAGAGAATGAAGAATGCCCATTTCAGAAAGTAACACCTGATTCCTTAGGGAAATAAAGCTTCTTATTAGACATACTGCTCAGTCGTCTCAGTTTTGTTGATTTCCAACTGGATAAAATTCTAGTTCCTTCCTTACGACGAGCATATGCTGGACAACACTGAAATCTCTGGGTCTCATTTTGACTGTTTTGCAGAAATTGGCATCAGTGCCATCTGGCTAAAGTTCAAGCATAATTTTGATGGGAAATTAAAACACTAATTTACTTACATAGATATCTGAGGAGGAGTTGGGTTCTGCAGAAATTATTGACCTGTTTCTTTACCCCTTGCTGAGGGGAGGAAATCTAATCATTAGTATTGCAACAAGCACTTAGAGGACAGTACCATAATCTCTTTATATTTCTTAAAATAGGCTTAAAGATGTTTACTGATAGCTCTAGCTTTCTCGTATTAGGAAGGAGGCTGCAGGGATAATTCAATATATATATATAACTTGGCAAAGGAGCAGTCTGTTGCCAGCTGCATCAAAATAGAAAATAATCAGCTGTAGCCCTGAAAACTTTCTCACTTGTAAAGTGCTGTTCTTGGGGAAACATTTATATAGTGTTTTCAGTACATGTGAGTGCACTGATATGATCTTAGACCAGAAATAAGAAGGTAGCTGTGCTGGTCTGTAGCAAAAAAAACAAAAACAAAACCAGGTCAAGGAAGCTCTTATGTTCTTATTCTACAGAATGTGTAAAACCAAACTGTTCAGGAGATGTTTACAATAGCGGGTGGTTGTTTAACATCCATGAAACTTAATTTCCATCTCTGTGTTCCATGTATATATTACATTTCTTGCATTCTTTCTGCCTCTAGTCTCAGTGAAAATGGAATAAATATATTATAATAATATTATGAGCAACCAAAATAACACAGCACAATGTGTGGGCTTTCAAGTTATTCAGAAGTTTTCATCAAGCTGGGTATTAAAAAGGGGAGAGGAAGAAAAGTTCATAGTTCAGGATATTTTTTAAAAAGCTGCAGAGAAGAGTACTCCAAAGAATATATGGTGAGACAAGATAGAGGCTTTTGCTTTATTGGTCTTAGTGAGTACAACAAACCACAGTTGTGTATAAGGTGAGGAGTGACTATTACCCAAACATTTGATTATTACCCAGAATTTGCTAAAGATATCCAAGTTTGGAAAAGAATACATTAGTTTTATTTATTTTATTTTATTTAGGCATTTTTACCCCGCCCTCCCCGCGAGCGGGCTCAGGGCGGCTTACAAGGGGCAAGAGCCCATGCCTAAAACCCAATAAGGCAATAAAATCATAAGTAATATCAATAATAAGTAATTAGTGATAAATAAACAATACAAGTTTGAAGAATGTAGCTTTCAAATGTCTTAATTTTATTTCAATACAACATAACAACTCAGGTGTTTGATTTGAACATAATTTTCTCTCAGTTTGTGAAGGGTGCCTATGTCACTTTTAGGGAAAGGATGAACTCTTAATGGCAAGAGTCTTCCTAAGCACGGTGTCTGTCAATGGTGTTGAACTCATTTGTCACGAGGGCCAGATCTGACATAAATGTCACTTTGTCAGACCAGGCCATGTGTGCCATAAAATGTAATGACAGGTACCAGAGATATTGTACCACTGGCTGTGACCATACCCCTCCTAAGCAGAGTACAGTGCCAAACCAGCCCTCCTTGCCCCTTATGATTGCCAACTCTGGGTTGGGTAATCCCTGGAGATCTGGGGGAAGGCCTTGGGGAGGGCCTGCATTTGGGGAAGGGAGGAACCCCAGCAGGGGGTATAATACCCTAATATAGGCACTTCTGGTCCTAATTTGGATTGGTTTCCCTCCCAATTGCTCGCAGGCTGGATAAGAGCCCTGGATGGGCCACTTCCAGCCCACGGAACGTATGTTTGACATGTCTGGTCTAAGTCTTCAGGTGACTCTTCCAAGATACAGTTTTATTGCATTTGAATGGTTTGTATAAACCATAGCTTTCCCTGAAACAACAACTGAAAACCTTGGTTTGGTTGTGGTATCTGTTTCTGGTGCTCAGGCAAACTCTGCTCTGCACTAACCACAGTTTCTCTGGCTCAAATAATATACCAAAAAATTATGTTTTGCTTCTAGGAAGGTGAAGAAACAAATGGTACAGAGGGGAAAAAAATTTTTCAGAGGGAAATTTTTAATAGTCAAACCCATATGCGTTTCACATGCAGCTTTGTCAGGGACAATCTTTCAGATTCTTTTTCATTCCATTCCCATACATACACTGGAGCAAAGTCATGTATGAGAACAGAACAAAAAAGAATCTGAAAGATTCACCCTGATGAAGCTGCATTCAAAATGTATAGAGGCTGTACAACTATTTAAAAATTTTCTCTGCACCATTTTGCTTCTTCCTCATTTTGCCTTGGTGCGCCCCCCCCCTCTTCTTTGCTTCTAGGAAGGAGGAAGCACAGAGGTAAGCAGAAGAATATGCAGTCATGATGAAGCTCAGGCACCAGTGGCCAAATCATGGGTAATCAAATCATAAATCTCACCCCCCCACCACATGTTACACAATGCTTCTGATATACCCGCTTTGGCATTCTTCATATATAATGGTCAATTATGAATGTCCACTATGTGAACAGGCCTGGGGGATCCTCTCCTTGTGTGTACCCTCCCTCTGCCTGCAGTGCTTGGTAATTAAATGCTTTTGTTTTCATGGTGAAGCTTGCCTTGGTGGCCAACTGTGATTTGCACCCTTTCCTGCAAACCAGGATTTCACACAGTGGTTTAATCCTAGGTTGGAATGCAGTTTTTCAGGGAAGAGCATGTATCTTAGCTCATAGTTTGTATGAAATGGCAAGTTGTGTTTTGCTGCAAAAGTCTTCAATTACATCATCCTGCAT